TATCCACCTAGGGCCTCCCCTGGTGGTGCAGCAGTTGACCGCTGGGTTGCAAAGCTGCCCGCAGCCTCTGCAGTGCCAGTTCGATCCCTGGCCACCGGCGAGGGTCCCACTTGGCACGCAGACCTCTCCTGCCGCCCGCTGCTCCCCGCAGCAGTATATTTCACCTGTCTGCCTGCTCTGTTCCCCGCTCTGGCTCTGGTGAATCCTCTCACCCTCCCGCGCTTCTGACTGTACCCAGTGCTTGTATAAATATTTCTTTAAAAAAAAAAAGATTTATCCACCTATACACACAAGAACTGGGGTACAGGCCAGATATGCAGATATGCGGGGCGGGGGGGGGGTTAAAGGATTCACCAGAGACAGAATGGGGAACAGAACAGGCAGATCAAGTGAGGTACACTGCTGAGGGGAGCAGTGGGCGAGTCAGGAGAAGTCTGCTGCGCCATGTGGGTTTGTCCTTGGCCGGGGCTCGAACTTGTGCTGCAGAGGCTGCGGACAGCGTTACAGTTTGTGTCTTAACCCCTTGAGCCACCAGAGAGGCCCAGTAAGGTATGGTTAAAATTGGAGTTTCTTTTTCAAGAAAAACTCTTCCAATGCCCCAGACTTAATATCATTATTTCCTTTCATGAAGCTCAACAATTTAATTTAAGGATTGTCAAACAGAAAACTTTCTAAGAAATGCAATGTATGGGGACCTCCCTGGTGGCGCAACGGGTTAAGTCTCAGGCTATCAAGCTATTGGGAGCCACTGCAGAACCAAATCAATCCCCAGCCAGGGAGGTGACCCATATGGCGCAGCAGACCTCTCCTGTCTCACCCGCTACTCCCCTCAGCAGTGTATTTCAGTAGATCCGCCTGTTCTGCTCCCCACTCTGCCTCTGGTGAATCTTCTCACCCCCTGAACCTCTGGCCTACAACCCAGCTCTTGTATATATAAATAAAATAAATCTTAAAAAAAAAAGAAAAAAGAAAAATAAAAGAAATGCTATATACCCATGTGCCAATCAAGATTAAAAAAAAAAAAAAAAAATCCCCTGACCTGGATTTTGGGAAGCCTGTGAGGCCTGGCAACCCCAGCCCACTCCCCCTAAGCCCCAACTGGGGTCTGTCTGGTCTGGGTTGCCCCGGTTTCTCACTGGGGGACAGGTAGCCCTCCCAGCAGAGGGTTGGAGGTAAGAAAAAGGCTCAGCTGGTGTGTGTGTGGGGGAAGCCAAGGGAATCTATCTTCTCTTTCTGATAAATTAAATCAAATAAGCAAGGCTGGGAACTCCCCAGGAGGCGGTCGTTTTCCTTGACTGCCTTGAGGGATAGGAAAGAGAGGGTAATTTGAAAGGATTTTTTAAAACTCTCCCAAGAAGTGTCAGAAGTTCCCAGTTTCCCCGAGGCGGGGATCCCCCTCTCCTGGGTGACTCCATCAGGAGCTGGGGAGGCCCAAGTGGGAGGCTGCTAGAGGTTGCCTGGTAACAGCCTTGGGAGAGACTCTGGCTAGAGGTGAGCCAGGGTGGGGACCAAGGCCCCTGGTCTCATACCAGACCCAGTCCAGCCTTCCACCTCTGAGCCCTACTTCAGCTGGTGGGTAGTCACCTCCTCAGAAGGGCCTTCCCTGACAGCCCTTTAAGAAGATCCCTTCTTTCTAAGGAAAGCTTCACAGGCCATTAGAACTGGTTCTCTTTGCTCTCGTTTGAGGTCTGTCTTGCAGATCATGCCTCCTTTATTTAGGGTGGTGCTCAAAACTGAGCCTGGTGCTGCTCTGATCTGGAAGCCTGCCTGGCTGGTCAGTGCAAGTGCTGGATGCAGGAATAGTGTAATCCAGAAGACTAAGCTCCTTGCTGTGCCATTGCTGTGTGACCTAGGCTGGGTGGCTTCCTCTCAGAACAAGAAAGTTACAGCTGTGGTGGTTGAGGAGGAAGTCATGACAAGCTTCCTGGAAGGGGAAGCTTAGGAGCCGGCCCTGGAGGCTAAGGAAAAAAGGGGCAGAGGAACCCCAAACCCAGTCTCTCCCAGGACCTCAGATATCTTTGAGACTACCCTGGGAGCAGGGGATTGGGTGTGGGGGCAGGGGGAAGAGAAAAGCAGCAGGAGAGAGCAGGCTTGGGGCTCCAGGACCCCCTGCTGTGTGACCAAGGGCTGGTGGCTATCCTCTCTGTCTCAGGAGATAAGTGCTGAGGGGGGAGGTGAAGCCCAGGAATTTAGCCTTTGGAACAGCCTTTGGACCCAGTCCCTGGGTACACTTCAGGGGACACTTTACCCAGGGAGGGGCAGTGTGGGGCCTTCAGGGAAGCAGTGGGGTTCAGTCACCCAGGGCATAGTGGCTGGGTGGTTACTGCCAGGAAAGGGTGAGAGAGTGTGGTCCTCTGGTGTGCACTGTGAAGGTCCCCTGGCCTGGAGGCCTTGCTGGGTGGGGGAAGCACAAGAGGAAAAAGTACCCGAAAGGCAGGTGAAGTCTCCATTGGCTGAGCTGGGACAAGGGCTCCTGTGGGTTATGTGACATTTCTGAAAACTCCCTGCAAGGGCAAAGTTCCCAAGTGCAGAACCTGTTCACTTCCTCTCCGGCTTGTCTCCTCCCCTTCCTCAGGCCAGCTGCACTTCCTCTTTGCCTTCTCTGAAACCTATCTCTCTTCAGCTCACCCCTCCCCACAACTCAGCCCCCCAAGGCATTCATCGTCCCAAGTCCTTTCTGAGGCCTGAGGATACCTGACAGTCACTTATTCATTCAATAGAGCAGGGTCCTGAGGTGGGTACAGTGGAGGAAGTGAAAGTGAAGGAGGGAAAGCCTAGAAGAGCTGGCAGTTGGTGAGGGAGGCCAAGAGTTATAAAAGCCAACCCAGTGCAGTGGTCTCAAATGGGTAGGTGTATGTTGCTGGTGCTAAAAGAGCTATTCAAGGAGGGGCCTGCTGAATAGGGATGAGCTGGTAGGGATGAGCCTTGAAGGATGCAGAGCATAGGAAATTGCTGCTGTAATTGGAGGGCCAGAAGTGTTCTAGCCTGAGTTTTGGTAGGGCTGGTGCTCCTATCCCTTAGCCAGCCCCTAGTTGGGAAGAGATGAGGTAGCAGCACCAGCTTTGTAACCACAGAAGCTGCCTAGAGTCAATCCCACTCTCCCCTCCTTGTCCTGTAGCCCAGCTCTCAGCCTTTCCAGCACCTAACACAGTTCAGCAAACAGCTAGAAGCAGTTTTCAATCCACAGGAAGCTAAAAGTGTCGCCCCCTCGCCCAGTAAATCAGAGCCGTCAAGTCCCAAGGCAGCTGGCTAGAAGCCTAAGATAGAGACACAAGGCCAGGGCCAGGGCAGCCTGGCCCCAGGGAAGCAAGGAGCAGACAGGGGTGCTGTGGTAAGGCTCTTGGCAGTCCTCTGGGAATATTAGCTTGTGACTCTGAGTCTGCAGCTCTGTTGTGCACTGAATGATCCCTTCCCACCTGCTTGTGGCCCCTGCGACCTTCTAAGTGTCCTGCCACCAGCCTCCCACAGTGGGCTGGACCAAGCTGCCTCTTTCTCGGCCAGATTCCATATCCATATATGGACTAATCTTTCACTGATGTCAACACACAAGTATGAGCACCTACTGTGTGTTATGAGGCCCTGGGATATCAGGAAACAGACCAGTGGTGACAGGCCAGGGCCTCTATCTAGTCCATCGTCCCCGTTTCGCTTCACGTGGAATTCAGCTTGTCACCACCTACAGGAAGGTGCATGCTTCTCGAGGCTGAGCTGGATGACTCTCTGGGGGCCCCATGGCCCCTGGGCTGCTGTGTACCACAGTAATCACTGCTGGCCATCATCCGGGTACATGCTCTGCCTGCCACAGTAGCAGCTCTCCAGCAGGGAAACCACTCAGCACCCGGAGCACCCAATGTCCAGTGTTGCCCAATGTCTGGTGAAGAGACCCAAGGCAGAAAAGGGTGAAAGAAGGTCTTCTCTGACCTGCCGCCCCACCTCTTCACTCCCTCCAGCACATGGCGTGTCCTTCTCTAGTCCTTGGTGGCCTCCAGATGGTCCAGGAGGGCAGTTCAGCTGTGGCCACACATGAGAGATAGGCAATGGATGGTAGGCCCCAAGCCCCAGAGCTCTGTGAGCACCCCGCCTGGCTGGCCAGCAGTACTTGGCAGCTGCCTCGGTCACAGGCTAACGGCCTAGAGCTGGCCTTGGCTGGGTGTGACCAGGCAGCCTGGCTCCAAGGAAACAGTAGCTCTGCTTTCCAGAGCCCACCTCTCCTCAGGCCTACAGCAGGGGTGGCCTGGAGTGCTCTGCACGGGGAACTTCCAGCCACTGGTGGGGGGTGGCCTGCACCCCTGCGACCATCTGCTCTGTCCCTGAGACTGTTAAGTCACTACACGCCCCCAGACTCCTCAGGTCACACCACACCCATCAACCTCAGGTCTTTAAGTGGTAAAGTCCCCTACTTAGCAAGAAGGGCACCCCGGGCCATAACCCTCTCCACCGACCCCCGACCCCACCCCAGGCTTTCAGGGTAGGGGCGCTAAGGTTGGCAAGAAAGAAGATGACTCCCCTGGGCACCCCTCCCCCGCCTGCTGCTCAGGCATGCACTCACAGCAGCCAGGGCCCTCCCCCGCCCCGCCATGCTGCCCCCTGCCCCCCGGGGTGCCCACTACCTAGTGACATCCACACCCCAAGGTCCCGGTGCGGGGCACACGGAGCGCAGGGCAGCTGGGCGCGGGCTGACCACGCGGGCGCCTGTGGCTGCCCGGGCGCCCCTCCCCCGCGCCGTCCGCGGCCCAGCACCCAAGGGCGGCCAACGCCAAGCTCCCTCCTCCTCTTCCTCAATCTCGCTCTCTCCCAGCTCTTCTCTCTCTCTTTTTTTTTTTTGCAAAAGGAGGGGAGAGGGGGTAAAAAAATGCTGCACTGTGCCGCGAGGCCGGTGAGTGAGCGGCGCGCGGCCAATCAGCGCTCGCTGTTCCGAAAGTTGCCTTTTATGGCTCGAGCGGCCGCGGCGCCGCCCTATAAAACCCGGCGGCGCGGCGCGCAGCCACTGTTGAGACTGCGTCCACTCCGCGAGCTCCGGCCCCTCGCCCGCGCCTTCCGCCGCTCTACACCGCCACCAGGTAAGGCCGCGGCGGCCCCGGCCCGGCCCGCGCTGGCGAGCGCCGGCGCCCCTCGCCTCCGGGCAGGGCGGGCCCGGGCCCCGCCGCGCCGCCCGCCGCCCAGGCCCAGGGAGCGGAGCCCGGGCGCCTCTCGCTTGGGCACCCCGGCAGCACTTCGGGGCGCCCGTCCCCAGCTCGCTACCGAGAACCGGGGCAACACGGAGGGCCCGGCGGCGCCGGGCTTTTGTCCGAGCGGGCAGTTGGCCCCGCCGGGAGGGTGGGTGGGCTTCGCGGTGCCGCCGGGGCGGGTGGGGGCTGGGAGGCGAGTGCGCGTGCGTGTGCGCCCGCGCGTGCGCGCTGAGACCCGGGCCCTTTAGCCGGGCCGAGGGCGGGGCAGCCAGCCGGAAGGGGTGGGGTCGCCACGGCGCGAGGGCGCCTGCGCGCATTTCCTTGCCGCGCGCCGGCTCCGCGGGTGTGGCCGCCGCGCGCCGGCTCCAGCCCGGCGCTTTTTAAACGAGGCGGGGGCGGGGCCAGCTCCCCGTAGGGAGGGGGCGGAGGCCTGGCTTCCTGCCGCGCTGCGCGGGGCCGCCTCCAACCAGCGTTTGCCTTTTATGGTAATAACTCGACCGGCCTGGCTTCCTTTGTCCCCAATCTGGTCGCGCGCCGGCGCCCCCTGGCGGTCCGCGGGCGCAGCGCGCCGGAAGTGGGCGGGGGCGGCGCCACTCCGACCCCCAGCTCAAGTCCTGACTCTTCTCTCGCAGTTCGCCATGGATGACGATATCGCTGCGCTCGTGGTCGACAATGGTTCCGGCATGTGCAAGGCCGGCTTCGCGGGCGACGATGCCCCTCGGGCCGTCTTCCCTTCCATTGTGGGGCGCCCCCGACACCAGGTAGAGTACCGGCTTCTGTTCTCCTTTGGTGGGTGGGGCCTCTCGGCAGCTGGTGGAGAAGCTCTAACTTCCTGGGTGATGTTCCTACTTCATGCTGAGGGTGCTCTGCTTGTTCCCCGCAGGGTGTGATGGTGGGCATGGGCCAGAAGGACTCCTACGTGGGTGATGAGGCCCAGAGCAAGAGGGGCATTCTGACCCTGAAGTATCCCATCGAGCACGGCATTGTCACCAATTGGGATGACATGGAGAAGATCTGGCACCACACTTTCTACAATGAACTGCGTGTGGCCCCTGAGGAGCACCCTGTGTTGCTGACTGAGGCCCCCCTGAACCCCAAGGCCAACCGTGAGAAGATGACCCAGGTCAGTGTTCCACTAGCTTTCCATGGACAGCCAGCCTTTCTCTTGCCTTCCTGTGCCACGCCCTTTCTCATTTGTTCTTTCTTCTGCCATTCTCTAGGACTTTCTTCTCTGACCTGAGTCTCCTTTGGAACTCTGCAGGTTCTATTTGCTTTTTCCAGATGGAATCTTTCTTGTGTTTGCTTTTCTGACTAGGTATTTTAAAGCATAAAGTGTTGTGAGTGTAGGTACTAACATTGGCTCGTGTGACAAAACCAGTGAGACTGGTGTAAAAATGGCCTTGGAGTGTGTATTCAGTAGGTGCACAATAGGTCTGAAGTGACTCCCTGTCCCAGGATCCCCAGCACACTTAGCTGTGTTCCTTGCACTTTCTGCATGTCCCCAGTCTGGCCTGACTGCCTTTGGTGGCTTCCCAAGCATGACGTCATCCTGTTCTTTCCACAGATCATGTTTGAGACCTTCAACACTCCAGCCATGTACGTGGCCATCCAGGCTGTGCTGTCCCTGTACGCCTCTGGCCGTACCACTGGTATCGTGATGGACTCCGGTGACGGGGTCACCCACACTGTGCCCATCTACGAGGGGTATGCCCTCCCCCACGCCATCCTGCGTCTGGACCTGGCTGGCCGGGACCTGACGGACTACCTCATGAAGATCCTCACGGAGCGTGGCTACAGCTTCACCACCACGGCTGAACGGGAAATCGTACGTGACATCAAGGAGAAGCTCTGTTACGTTGCCCTGGACTTCGAGCAAGAGATGGCCACTGCAGCGTCGAGCTCTTCTCTGGAGAAGAGCTACGAGCTGCCTGATGGTCAGGTCATCACCATTGGCAATGAGCGATTCCGCTGCCCCGAGGCGCTCTTCCAGCCCTCTTTCCTGGGTAAGTAAGCCACCCTTTCTGTCCCCCTGCTCTGCTTCAAGGTCCCATGTGGCACACTGGAAGCTAAGTCTGACTTTTGTTTTCCCTCAGGCATGGAATCCTGTGGCATCCATGAAACTACCTTCAACTCAATCATGAAGTGTGATGTTGACATCCGTAAGGACCTCTATGCCAACACAGTGCTGTCTGGTGGGACCACCATGTACCCTGGCATTGCTGACAGAATGCAGAAGGAGATCACTGCCCTTGCTCCCAGCACGATGAAGATTAAGGTGAATGTCTGCCCAGCCTGAGCTTACCTCTGGGGGCTTGGTTGGTTGTTGAGGCAAACCACTGTTGACGGTCTTGATGCTAATTGTCTCTTCTCTCCCCAGATCATCGCGCCCCCTGAGCGCAAATACTCTGTGTGGATCGGTGGCTCCATCCTGGCCTCGCTGTCCACCTTCCAGCAGATGTGGATCAGCAAGCAGGAGTACGATGAGTCTGGTCCTTCCATTGTCCACCGCAAATGCTTCTAGGCGGACTGTTACTTAGTTGCGTTACACCCTTTCTTGAGAAAACCTAACTTGCAGCAGAAAACAAGATGAAATTGGCATGGCTTTATTTGTTTTTTGCTTTTCGGTTTGTTTTTTTTTTTTTTTTTTTTTTTTTAATGAATTTTGTTCTGGCGCTTGACTCAGGATTTCAAAACTGGAATGGTGAGGGTGACAGCATACCCTGATGATAATGATAAGAACATCCCTCCAAGTTCTACAATGTGGCTGAGGACTTTGATTGTATAGTTTTTTTTTAAAGTCATTCCAAATATCCTTGATACATTGTTACAAGAAGTCCCTTGCCTTCCTAGAGGCTTCCCCAGTTGTACCTAAACAGGGCCAGTCCTCACCCAAGTCCATGCATCAGGAGGCTGGTATGGCATTGCTTTTGTGTAAATTATGTAACCCAAATTTTTTTTAATCTTCGCCTTAATACTTGTTGTTTTGTTTTTATTTTGGATGGTCAATCATCCTGGCCCCTTTTGTCCCCCTGGCCCCTTTTATAGCCTCTTTAGGAAGTGTGAGGTGCGGAGGCAGCCAGGGCTTACCTGTACACTGACTTGAGACCATTGAGACCAGTTCAATAAAGTGCACATAAAGAAATGAGGCATGGCTTTTGAGGCATTGTTGGGTTTATTGGGTGCTGGGGAAGAGGGGTAGTTTGGGGGAATTCAAGTTGGTGTTCACCCTGATAATGCAGTCAGGGGTTGGGAGGAACTGCTGATCCTGGCCAGGCTTTGGGCCTATCTCCCAGGTACTCTAATTTCTCACTGGGTTCTGAGATACAGATGCATCAGGGGAATGGGAGACCTGGCTGTTTGGTTTAGGGGTATCTGGTGGTCCATGGGGTTTGGTGGGTGTCTTTGTATAGAGTGGGGACTTTCTGACAGATGGGTCACTTGTGTCCTTGGAAGGGGGGGACTGAGAAAATGGGTGCTTTCAGGCCACATACCTCTCCACCTCACCTTCACTATTATTGCTATATTTCCTTGAGCCCTGGGGCTGAGGGTGTGGCCTCTAGGTGCTAGCCCACCTAAAGTAATTCCCACCCCCACATTGTGAGTGAGGGGAAGTTAGGGTTGTCAAAGAAGGCTCTGGGTGGGATGGGGGGACTCCGCCTGGGAGCTGCCTGTGCCTTTGCACAGTGCTGCCAGCTGGTTTGCTCTGCTCTGCTCCCCAGAGTCTCAAGACCTAGCAAGGTTGGCAGTCAAGCTTCTGGAGGGCAGGGTCTGCCTGGTGCTGCAGGTAGCTTCTGGTTTGCTTTTGCAGGGAAGAAAAAATCCAAGCCTGACCTTTCCTCTGCTAGAAGCTGTGATTAACACCAGCGGGAATGAGGGTGGGAGGGCCCCTTCATGAAGGATAACCCCACATCTCCAGAGGTGGTGAGAGAGAAAGCCAGTAGATTCAATTTTGAAGGCTTAACACTTGTACAATTAGTGCAAGGTTATTAGCTCTTTAGGTAGATGACTTTTGTAAGACCACATGAAGGCTTTCAAAACCAAACTGGGGCACCCAGTTTGGCAGCACCCCTGCCCCCCTCCAACACTGACAGATTTAACTGGTTTAGAACATAGGTGCACAGGGTGCCCTGGGGAGCAGCACTCTCCCTAGAGTCCTGGCTCTGTCCCTCACCTCAGGGCCTAAGAAGGCAGGTTTGAAAGTCCCTTCCAGGCCACTTCCAGCTCTGTGGTCAAGGTAGGAGTGATGGGGAGCCCTGCCCCCTGGGAACTGGAGGCAGTGTCACTTATTGCACAGGCCTTGACTGTCCATGTGTGCTGGGCCTGAGGCCACTGAGGTGATCTGGGAACAGACGTGCCCTGGAGGAGCTGTCAGTGGAAAACGGACTCCCCTTCCCGCCTCCCTCCATTGCTCCTTCATTCATCCAACCACTGTGTGCCAGGCGTTCACCAGGGCTGGGGGTACATTGGAGAAGAAACCAGATGTGTTTGCTGCAGGGGCGAGATGCCTGGTTTAATGGGAAGAATGACAAATACGTAGGCAAAGTCATTTGACGAGCCATCGGGTGTGCTAATAAGCAGAGTCTGTGTGACGTGATGGTTTCCTGGCGTACACATCAAAATTTATCAATACCTCAATAAGAAACTTAACAGTTCTAAAAATCATTTTGACTTTAACAACCAAAAACACAATGAAGGTTAATAAACTGGGGGGGGGGGGAGGGGAATGGAGAGAGGGGAGCTGCAGATGGTGGCCCATGGGAGGGAGGCCCAAGTTGGCCCTGGAAGCTGGACAAGAGTCCCTCAGGCAGGTGGAGTTGGGGGAGGGGGGGAGCGTGGAGTGGTGTCTCAGACTGTGGGGTGGATTGACTGGAGACCTGGAGATCACCCCAGGGCAGAATGGGAGCATGGTCGGACCACTGCTCCCTATGTGAATTTGGAGGCCAAGTCCTATCTGAGCTGTGGAAACATCAGTGGCAACACAGGAGAGCTGGGTGGTGTGAACAGGTGCTAATCATTCTTTGCTTTGAAAGGCTTCAGAAGTGTAGCCAAGACACACAACTGGCCTTGAAAGTCTTTTAGGCTTTGTTCCTTCTCTCCTGGCCTACAGCTGAGGTGACTGTGAATACCTGGCCCAGAGTGAAGGCCCTGACCCGTCCCCACTGGGCTAAGCCAGAGGACGCCACATAGCTCCTGTCTTGTCCTGTATGCATCTGACAGTGGAAACCTGAGGCTCCAGGACAGGTGACTGATTCCAGGGAAACCCACCTCATGGGAGGAAGCTGGGGTTTGACTGTGATGCCTACAAAACCTGGTCACTGTCTCTAGGACAGATCAGGGTCAGATTCATCATGGTGGAAAACCATGGAAAAAAAAATTTTTTTTTTCACACAAATGCAGAATTAGCACCCTGCCAAGACCCCAGGGCCCCTGCCACCTGCCCTCTCTGCGGCTTGCCCTCCCCCTGGCCTGGCAGCACAGGTGACTGGCTCCCCCATGAGGCAGCTATAAACATGGGAGGATCACCTTTTTTTTTTTTTAAAGATTAATTTATTTATGCATACAAGAGCTGGGGTACAGGCCAGAGTTGTGGGGGTTGAGAGGATTCACCAGAGACAGAGTGGGGAACAGAACAGGCAGACTGAGTGAAATACACTGCTGAGGGGAGCAGCGGGCAAGACAGGAGAGGTCTGCTGCGCCATGTGGGTTGCTCCCTGGCCGGCTGGGGATCGAACTCGTGCTGCAGAGGCTGTGAATTGCTTCATAGTGTGGTGCTTAACCCCTTGCGCCATCAGGGAGGCCCCGAGGGTCACCCTTTTAAGGAACATCTTCCTCCTCTGCAAAGTACCCCCTGCCTTTATAGAACCCAAAAGACCTTTCTGAGCGGCTAGGACATTCTGCAAAATGCAGGGGTTTGGAACTCTAGTCCTCCCCTTATCTGGCTTATTCCTGGAGCCCCGAGGTGGGGATACCTGGACACACCTACTGTCACGCTGGGGCCAGAGCAAGCCTTCTGTCACAGGGCGATTGTCATCCTTGGGAGAAACTGAGGCTCTAGGGTAAAGCAGCACTGAGATGGCAGTATCAGGATGCAAACACACATTCTGGCCTGGAAGCAGGCAAGGGACACCAGGGCTGGAGTCACTCATACTCCTGCCACCTTGCCAGTGGTTGGTGTTGTCATTTATTCTGCGTTCAATATATATTCTGAGTAGCCACACAGTGCTGGGACTGGGGATACAGCAGGGACACGGAGACATTGCCCTTGCCCTCATGGAGATTACAGTCCTGCATTGCTGTCCCTTGCAGGGGCCACATAATACCAAGTGGCTATTTTTTTTTAAAGATTTATTTATTTATGCACACAACTGGTGTATAGGCCAGAGGTTCAGGGGGTGAGAGGATTCACCAGAGACAGAGTGGGGAGCAGAACAGGCTGATCTACTCAAATACACTGCTGAGGGGAGCAGCAGGCAAAACAGGAGAGGTCTGCTGCACCATGTGGATAGCTCTCTGGCCAGGGATCGAACTCGTGCTGCAGAAGCTGCGGATAGCTTCATAGGTTGTGTTTTAACCCCTTGTGCCACCAGGGAGGCCCAGGGTTCATTCTTTGTGTTGTACATTCCATGGCTTTGGACAAATGGATAATAACAGGTACGTTCCCTTTATAGAGACGTAGAGAGCAGCTTCACTGCCCTAAGATTCCTCTGTGCGCCACCTGTTCATCTCCCCCGCTCACCCCTGGCAAATTTTAGTCTTTTTACTGTCTCTGTAGTTTTGCCTATTCCAGAATGTCACAGAATTGGAATCCTGCAGTGTGTAGCCTTTTCAAACTGACTTCTTTTACTTAGTAATATGCATTGAAGGCTCCTCTGTGTCTTCTCCTGGCTGAAAGCTCATTTCTTTTTACAGCCGAATAATATTCCTTTGTCAGGGTTCACCCACTGAAGGGCATCTTGGAGGCTTCCAAGTGTCGGCAGTTATGAATAAAGCTGTTATAAACCTCTCCATGCAGGATTGTGTGTGGACATCCTCAAGATGTGCAGATTTAAAAGGTCATTCGGATTGGGTGGCTGCAGTGGGAGTAGCTTAGGGAAGGCAGGGCTTCTGGTGGAACGAAGCACTCTGGAAGGTGGAGAGGGGGAACACTTTGTGTGTGTGTGTGGGGGGGCGCTATGTCTGGAACAGAAAGAGCATCTGAAAAGGCTTTCCTAGTGGGCGTCAGCAAGGTCCTGTCCCCACCTTGACCATTTTCACAGGATCCAGCTACCCCTCTCCACATCCTCCTACCACCTGGAGGTTTTCTCTTTCCTGCAGTGCAGTTAGGGAGGCTAGACTGGAGGGCTCACTCTGCCCTGGGTTCTGAAACAGAGACAAAGTGGGCTTAAATTCCAGTATTGCTACTCACCTGTGTCCTCTTGTACAAGAATGTGTGAGAAGAGGGTCTTCCCCAGGGCGTCTGGTGCCATTTCTCATGGATTTAATGGGAAAGTGTCAGTTATAAACCAGTGGCTTGGGAATGGTGGCCGCTGTCATTTACATTAGGAAAGAGCTGCCCTTTTCTCCAGACCCCATTTCTAGATGAACTGGAGGGGAGGGAAGGATGAGGGGAGCCACCTGCCTTCACCTGCATCATTTCCAGATTCTACCTTGGGCTCTTGGTGAAGTGCTCAGAGCTGGCCCAGGCCAGTACCCCAGGTGTGGGCTCTCAGATCATGAACCTTTGGAGACATTGTGAAGACGTGTCACCTAGACCTCGGAAGGCCTGTGAGAGTGTGGGAGCCAATTCCCTGTCTGGTCTCCTTAAGCCCAATACTCAGCGGTTTCCAATTTAAATGGTCCTCAGAATTGGGGTGCCTATGAAATGTGGGACTTCTTCCTGATTAGAATAAATGATAGTAGTTGGGCTACAGCTTCCATTTGCTGAATCATTCCTCTGTGCTGGACCTGCATTATCTTGTTAAATCAATCATTTATTTGACAGATGTTTATCAAGACCCCCCCAGCCATATTTGTTTTATATATTTTTACATTTTATTTTATTTAAGTGTTTATCTTTATTTTTGTGGGGGGTTGGGGAGTTTGAGAGGATTCACCAGTGACAGAGTGGGGAGCAGAACAGTGGACTGACTGAAATACACTGCTGAGGGGAGCAGCAGGCAAGTCAGGAAAGGTCTGCTGCACCTGGGTCACCTCCCTGGCTGGGGATTGAACTCAGGCCATAGGGTGATAGCTGAGGCTTAATTCGTAGGCTACCAGAGAGGCCCTTTTTCTTCTTTAACATTTTATTTATTTATTTATTTATTTATTTATTTATTTTTTAATAGAGGCATGTTTTTATTTATTTATTTATTTGTTTGTTTGTTTTGTTTATACATGCACTGGGTACAGTCAGAAGCGCGGGAGGGTGAGAGAATTCACCAGAGCCAGAGCGGGGAGCAGAGCAGGCAGAAGAACCGAACGAAGTACACTGCTGAGGGGAGCAGCGGGTGGCAGGAGAGGTCTGCGCGCCATGTGGGACCCTCCTCTGGTGGCCGGGGAGCAGCCGGGGATCGAACCGGCGCTGCAGAGGCCGCAGGCAGCATCGCAACCCAGCGCTCAACCGCTGCGCCACTGGGGAGGCCCTCTTTTTTAACATTTTAAAAGGACAAGATTTATTGGGGTAAAGGAAAAAAGGAGACACCTGCATAGTCGCAAGCGGCCGGGGAGGAGAGTTGCCTACCATGGCATATTTTTATGGGGAACAGAAAAGAAACAAGTTCACCACTATGGAAAACATAACTGATAACAGATTATTGGGGGGAAGGAGTGGACCAGTCAGTCAGGAAGACTGCAGGAGACACCTGGGTCTCTGTGAAGGCCCCCTGAATGCTGCCTGGGTCAGAACATGGTACCATCATTGGGGCTCCACGGATATATGGGAACCTCCATTAACACTCAAGTTTGTTATGCCTGACATTATACTTACTGTTGATTAAACCAGGGGCAAGGGCTGGGCCTGCCCCACAATGGTCCACCCACAGTAGGAGCTTACAGAGGCCTCTTGATACTAGTAATTGACTCCACCCTATGAGGTGGGAGGGAAATGAGGCCCAGGGAGGGTGTTACCTGAAACTTGATGTTCTGGGTTGAATAGTGTCCTCCAAAGAGTCTTGCCCACCTGGAACCTCAGACTGTGACCTTATTTGGAAATCAGGCCTTTGCAGATGTCATTAGTCTTTAAGATGAGGTCATTCTGTCTTAAGGTGGGTCCCAAGTTAAACATGACTGGTGTCTTTATAAGAGGAGAGGCGCACACAGGCGCACACACATACACACACACACACACAGAAGAACCCCATGAAGACAGACACAGAACTTGGAATGATGCAACTCCACAAAGAGCTCCAAGTACTCAAGGATTGCTGGCAACCACCAAAGGCTGGGAAGGAGCAAGGAGAGCCTTTGTATGGTGCATGGCCCAGTCAACCAACATCTCATTTCAAATTTCCATCCTCCAGAAGTGGGAGAGAATAAATTTCTGTTGTTTAAGCCACCCCAGTAGTGGTACTTTTTTTTATTAAAATGATTTTCATTTATTTATTTATGCAGGGCCTCCCCGGTGGCGCAGCGGTTGAGCGCTGGGTTGCGAAGCTGCCCGCAGCCTCTGCGGCACCGGTTCGATCCCCGGCTGCTCCCCTGCCACCAGAGGAGGGTCCTGCATGGCGGGCAGACCTCTCCTGCCGCCTGCTGCTCCCCTCAGCAGTGTGTTTTGTCAGTCTGCCTGTTCTGCTCCCCGCTCTGGCTCTGGTGAATTCTCTCACCCTTCCGCCCTTCTGACTGTACCCAGTGCTTGTATAAATAAATACATAAATCTTAAAAAAAAAAAATCTGAGCAGAAATTGATGGAAGGGTGTTATTAGTGCTTTTCCTTATACATTATTTTGCTTCAAATTGCAGTTTCCAAAAACTTATCAGTGACATTGAGGACTTAGTGTCAATGACTGTTACCTGTGAAGGGTTATGAGAGGGTGTATCATTCGTGTATTTCCCCGGCAAATACTTTCAGTGTCTACTACATACAGGTTCATCCCAGCTATGAGAAATCCTGTTGCTGCCTTCCGTTTTATTGGGGCAGCACCCCCGTCCGCCCCCTGCCCCTTTGGCTCCATAGGTCAAATGGTGCAGAGTTATGGAGAAAAATAACGCAGGCTGAAGGGCAAGTTTAGGGATGTGTATGTGACAATGGGCAGAAGGTGATGCTATTTTCTGCATGGGAGTCAGGAGTGGCTCTCCAACAATGTGGTGTTTGAACACTGCAGGCATCTGAACAGCAGATGCAAACGCCTGGAGGCAGACGAGCGCCGGGCAGGCAGGAGAAAGCCAGAGCGACTGGAAAGGCGCGTGCAGAGGGCCGGAGACACAGAGACGAGGTCAGGGAGGCAGCGCGGGCGCCTTGGGACCCTGCCAGGCTCACCCCGCACTCCGAGTGCCTACGGCGGTGCCGCACCCAACATGGCGTCAGCGCGCGGCACGACTACGGGCGAGCGGAAGTGCGTTCGGCAGGCGCCGGAAGTGGCGGGCGGCCCCGCCCCCTGCCGGGGTGTCTGTGGAATCGCGGACGCGCCGGCTTTGAGCATCCCTGGCCGCCCAGGCGGGCGGTCTCCGGGTTGCGGCTCGGGCGCTTTTGGCTTGGCCCGCCCTCGACATGGCCAGCTTCGGAGAGGTACGGCCAGCGCCGCTCTCTGCTTTCCTCTCTGCCCGGCGGCCTCGGCTCGGCCGCTCTCATCCCAACCCCGGTCCCCCTGCGTCCTTTCCATCACGACCTCGGCCGGGCCCTAGCTTCCCTCCCAGACCCCCGCCCCGCTCGGTGCTTTCCACCCCAATCTTGGCGTCGCCGGGCTTGGGCCTTCTTGTCCGACCGTGGTCTCGGCCTTGCCTCTTCCTTCCCATCCCGACGCTGGCCTTACCGGTTTCCTGTTCTTACTCCATCCCGTCCCCCAGGTCTTTATCCTGTCGAAGGCAAGAGATCTCTCCCTTTTCGGTTTTCCATCCCTTTCCCAGCCCCTCATTCCTGATCGCCAGAGTTCTTCTCTGGCTCTCAATCCCCAGTTTTCAGCTCCTCTTGGAGGCCTCCAGTTCCTTCCCCATGTCCCTGTTTTTCCGAGACATACCCTCTCCTTGTCCATTTCTCCCTCATCCTCAGAAACCTCGGTGTCATTCCAGCTTACTTTTCTCTGCGCCTGCTTGCTTTGTGACTTGGGGGGTAGTGGAGGAAAAAGCATTTCACGGGGGGACTTGTGACTTAGCTTGAACTTCCTTCCCCAATGCTCCACAAATATGGTGGGATGGATAATCCCACTGAGTGCCTGTAAAGTGGTGCAAGATATTTTCTCTGCAGACCAGGATGTGGAGGGTCTGGACTCTGAATAGTGTATTCTTTTTGTTACCTCTGGCCTACCTTTATGTGTGCTTGTGTTTCGAACATTGGCGCCTCAGGCTGTTGAACACACTTCATAGTAAGTCTTAGGGGCACGGGATTGGTGGGCCTGGGATTGGTGGGCCTGGGTAGGTGGAGGGATGGCTGCGGATGCTGACAGTTTATCGTTATTTGAAGTGAATTTGACAAAGAAGTGATTCCTGGGGCCCCTTGAGTGAAGGGGAGAACTCCCCTGTCCACCTGCAGACTGGTGATAGGAATGAAGGACCAGCAGGCACAGCTCCCTGAGAGTCTCCTGGGGCAGCTTGGCTGTGTTATTGAATTCTAGTCAGTTGTGTGTGCTGGGGGCGGGGAGTGGGAAACCAGGGTTGGTACTTTGTTTGATGGGTTCCTTGAAGCACATCTGGATGACCTGGCCAGCCAGGCATCTGTTGCTTTGTTAGAATCTTTTGGGATGAGAGTGGAGTCTCTTTCCACCCTGGATGTGGATCACAAGGTCCCTTTTTCTGGGATGGTCTAATTTTTAATTTATTTAATAAACTCACGCTTTGAAAGTATACAATTCAATAATTTAAAAAAATTTTTTCTTAAGGTTTGCAACCATCTTCATCGTCTGACACCAGAATGGAGTGCTCTGATTTTGAAAGTCACGTAACCTCCAGGACTATGCATAGGGTTTCCGAGTAGGGCTGTGCATTTGTAATAGAACCTCTAATGATTCTGAAGCAGTGGGCGTTGTTACACCTGGTTTAATGATTCTTACCTGGCCTAGTGAGGTGATAATCCAGCAAACCATTACAGTTTATCTGAGGAGGTGAGAGGTGGGAGAACATCTGGTACTGCTGTGGAGGAGGAGGAGTGTGAGTTAAGTGTGTGGATGAAGCTGGGAGGGCTTCATTGAGGAGAGTATTTGAGCTGAGAAGGTCAAGAGTAGTTCTTTACTTTGTGTAGTGGCCTGTCTGGTGTAGGGAATGGCTTGTGTAAAGGTATGGAGCTGTAAGTGCTATCGATGTCTCAGGGGAACATTGCAGAAAATGCCAATCTAAGGCCTAAGAAGAGTGAAAATCTTTCAGATGACTTCTGAGTTTTAGTTTTTGTCATAATATTAGATTACACACATTTGAGAAAGAGTGAAGCTCTATGTACCCATTGCCTGGATGTAGTAGTTAACACATAACTGATTTTGTTTCATCTCTGTCTCTCCCAGCCCTTTCTCCAATTATTTATTTATTTATTTATTTTGTGTGTGGGACCCTTGCCGGTGGCTGGGGATCAAACTGGTGCTGCAGAGGCTGTCGCTATCCAGTGCTCAAGTACTGCGCCACCAGAGGAGGCCCTTCTCCAATTATTTAAAGAATACTCCAGGGCCTCCCCTGGTGGTGCAGTGGTTGAGCGCTGGGTTGTGAGGCTGCCCGCAGCCTCTGCAGCGCCAGTTCGATCCCCAGTCACCGGTGAGGGTCCCACAAAAAAAAAAAAAAAAAATCATTCCAAACATGTTGTCAGTTAATTTATGAATCATGTGATTTCTTTGGTTGGTTGCTTGACTGGTAGCAGTCAGTTGGTAAAGATCAGGGAAGGAATTTTTTTTTGGTAGTTGCTAACTGAGGTTTCAGGACTTAATTTTGCTTAATTAAAAAAAAAGGTGAAACCTTACGCATTCTGAAAACTACCTAAGACTATTGAATAAGGAAACCCCAAGCCCATACTCTTCGAATCACTTTCAGGTGGTTGTTACCAGATCTAGCAGGATGGTTCCCAGGTGTGCTTTATAAAGATCACCTGCTGGGGCCTCCCTGGTGGTGTGAGGGGTTAAGTCTCAGCATTATCACTCTGTCTGCAGCACTAGTTTGATCCAGGCCAGGGAGCTGACCCACATGGTGCAGCAGACTTTTCCTGCCTGGCTTGTCCTCTGCTCCCCTCAGTAGTGTATTTCAGTCGATTCTCCTCTTTTGCTCAGTTTCTAACTACCAAAAAAAATTCCTTCCCTGATCTTTTACCAACTGACTGTTACCAGTCAAGCAAGCAACCAAACAAATCACTCTGTCTCTGGTGAATCCGCTCACTCCCCCCCCCCGCCTACACCCCAGTTCTTGTATGCATTAATAAGCAAAATAAATCTTTTTTTAAAAAAAAAGATTATCTGTTCCCTGCCCCTGAATTGGAATTTCTGGACGCTCCAAGAAATGTTGGGCCTGGACCTTCCAGAAGTTATAGGTCCTTTTCTAGTGTTGAGGGAAGGCTCAACTGATCAGGCCCGGCCTTTGGTGCTGCTTGCCTTGTGATCTTGGGCTACTTACCTAATTTTTTTAAGATGGAGAATGGGTCTACTTCAGTTTCCCCAGAGACTGACCATACATTATCCTGAGAGGCAGATGGGAGCAAATACTAATGTATTTGTGTGTGTGTAGAGGTTAGGTTTTCTAGGCTATACTTTTATTTCACAAATAAGCATCTTTGAGGCCTCTTTCCTTTCTCTGGGTGGCTTGTTTTGCTCTTGCTTGGCCAAGGTTTGCAACTTTACCTGGGTGAGAGATACACGAACAAAAGACAGGATTCTTGACTCAGGAAACTGCAGTTCCAAGGAAAAGACTCAACTGTTGCAAACTCAGCAGTCGCCTCTCAGGATCGCCTGCTGGGAGATCCAGGGGACCAATCTGACCTGCAGCCTGGGTGCCAGCTCCTGATCCTGACCAGCCCTTTATACCCAGGCCCCTGCGCTGGAGTCACAGCATGTGGAAAAAATAACCTTATAGGATGTGCTCAGACTGGATGAAAGGAGCCAGAACTCCATTCCTGTTTTGTTTTGTTTTATTTTTTCCCCTAGTCTGCTCTAAGAGAAATTCAGGGTTAGTGTAATCGTAGAATTACATGTTGCTGGAGTGTTTCACAAGTGTTTTGCCCTGCCTTCTCATCACTCTGTGATGGCTTTTTTTTTTTTTTTGCATAGAAGAACTGGGGCCAGAGGTGCAGGGGGGTGAGAGGATTCACCAGAGACAGAGTGGGGGGCGGAACAGGTGGATTCACCAAATACACTGCTGAGGGGAGCAGCGGGTGAGACAGGAGAGGTCTGTGCCATGTGGGTTAGCTCCCTAGTGGGGGATTGAACTCAGGCTGTAGAGTGATAGTGCTGAGGCTTAACCCCTAGGCCACCAGGGAGGCCTTGCAATGGCATTCTTTTTTTTCTTTTCCTAAAAGCTTATTTTCTACATATTTTTTTAAAGATTTATTTATGCATACAAGAACAGGGGTACAGGCCAGAGGTGTGTGTAGGGGGGCAGGGGGGGTGAGAGGATTCACCAGAGACAGAGTGGGGAACAGAACAGGCAGACTGACTGAACACACTGCTGAGGGGAGCAGCGGGCGAGTCAGGAGAGCTCTGCTGTGTCATGTGGGTTGCTCCCTGGCCGGGGATCTAATGCTTGTACTGCAGCTGCTGCAGGTAGCCTTCATAGGTTGTGTCTTAACCCCTTGTGCCACTAGGTAGGCCCCGCAATGGCATTCTTACTCTGATAAACCTGCCCTTGGGGATCAGGAGGGGCAAGTCTTAGGCTCTTGGTGGCAGAGATGGTCTGTCCAGTTTGCCTGGTAAGGATTATCCCTGCTCGAATCCTTCTGTGGAGGTGGACTCTCTAGGTCTTGGGTGGGCTCTGGGAATGATTTCTGACAGATGCCTGGGCCATCCCTATGACTGACTCTGGGAATCAGCGAGCTAAGGAAAGGTGCTTATGGTCCAAAACACCAGAACTGGGTGGCTGTGGACTTGGGTCTGGGGACTGCCTTTGTCCTTGGGCATGGTGGGGGTAGGGGGACAGTGCAGGCAGGGATTAAGGGCACTTCAAATGGAAAGTGGGGGAGTGAGGGCACATCTGGGTACCTCTTAGAATAAAGGGAAATTGTGAACGTCTGATGTTTTTGAAAGGCTGGATGTTCGGGAAACCCTTTTCTAACCTTAGGCAGGCTTGGTAGGGTGCAGGGCCTGTCAGGACAGAGTGGGAGGGGGGGTGTCACAGTTTGTGTTCCCAGGAACCCCGGTGCCTACTGGGGTGTGTAGGCAGCCTCTTCTTCCCAGGCTTCACAGTTGCCATGGTAGCGGCAGACTTTCCAAGTCCTAGCACTTCCAGCAATGCAGAGAAGAGGGGCTTGTGGAGGGAATCTCTGGAAAAGGCAGTGGAAATAATTTGGGTCATGCTCTCCTGGGAGTGATTGGAGAGGAGCCCCTCTGAGCGGATATATTTGGGACAGAAGGATCCGTTGGAGGAGAAGTGCTAGGAGATACAGGGATCCCTGCTTCTGTGTGCTTACCTCAAGAGAGCCTTCTGAATTCTTTTGTGGTTGATTTGGGGATCTCTTGTCATAATAGCAAGGGATAAACTCTTCTCCCTCTTGGTTTTACACATCAAAAAGGCATTTATCAGACAGAAGGCCTACATTAGGGAAATTTATAAATATCCACAAAAGGAGAAGGAACGTGTGATGTCTTACTGGAAGCACCCAGTTTTTTTTTTTTTTTTTAAGATTTATTTATTTATGCATGTAAGAACTGGGGTACAGGCCAGAGGTGTTGGGGGTGAGAGAATCCCCTAGAGAAAGAGTGGGGAACAGAACAGGCAGATTGACTGAAATACACTGCTGAGGGGAGCAGCAGGTGAGTCAAGAGAGGTCTGCTGCGCCATGTAGGTAGCTCCCTGGCTGGAGATCAAACTCGTGCTGCAGAGGCTGCAGAGGCTGCAGATAGCTTCATAGGTTGCATCTTAACCCCTTGCGCCACCAGGGAGGCCCTGTGCTGTCCATTTTTTACAATGGACTGTAAGATTTGAAAATGTCCTGAGTCTAGGAAGAGCTGTTGCATATTTATAAGGACCTTAGAGTTTCATCTTGGTGTGGGTCCTCCTATCTTTCTTGCCTGCAGTGACAGTGCTGGCTTGAGCTGCTGTCCTTCATGGTTCTGAGGATGTGATTCATGGTGACTCACTGATCCACCATGGCCTCCCTGGTTGGTGAAAACACTGTTGTTATTCCCAAGTCTTAGTTTCTTTTCCTTTTTATTAAAGGTTTATTTTTATTGGGCCTCCCCGGTGGCGCAGCGAGTTGAGCGCAGTGCTGGGAAGCTCTCTGCAGCCTCTGCAGTGCAGGTTCGATTCCCGGCCGGCCAGGGAGATACCCACATGGCACGGCAGACCTCTCCTGTCTCGCCCACTGTCCTCTCAGCAGTGCTTTCGGTCCATCTCCCTGTTCTGCTCCCCACTCTGTCTCTGGTGAATCCTCTCACCCTCCGGTGCCCCTGGCCTGTACCCCAGCTCTTGTAAAAATAAAATAAAATCTAAAAAAAAAAAGATTTATTTTTATTTTTTTATGCATACAAGAAAATCGGGGTGTATGCCAGAGGTGCAGGGGGTGAGAGGGTTCACCAGAGGCAGATTAGGGAGCAGAACAGGTAGATCTACTGAAATCCACTGCTGAAGGGAGCAGCGGGCGAGATAGAGGTCTGCTGTGCCATGTGGGTCAGCTCCCTGGCCAGAGATTGAACTTATGTTGCAGTGGCTGGCGATAGCTTGATAGTGCTGAGATTTTAACCCCTGCACCACCAGGGAAGCCCTCTTACTGTTTCTTGATGGGATTCTTCTTCTTTTTTTTTTTTAAAGATTTATTTATTTATTTATACAATCACTGGGTACAGTCAGAAGCGCGGGAGGGTGAGAGAGTGAATTCTCTGGAGCAGAACAGGCAGAAGGACCGAATTACACTGCTGAGGGGAGCAGCGGGCGGCAGGAGAGGTCTGCGCCCGCCATGTGGGACCCTCCTCCGGTGGCCGGGGAGCAGCCGGGGATCGAACTGGCACTGCAAGAGGCCGCGGGCAGCTTCGCAACCCAGCGCTCAACCGCTGCGCCACCGGGGAGGCCCTTCTTTTTTTTTTTTTTTTAAGATTTATTTATGCATACAAGAGCTGGGGTACAGGCCAGAGATGCAGAGGGTGAGAGGATTCACTAGAGACAGAGTGAGGAACAGAACAGGCAGACTGACTGAAATACACTGCTGAGGGGAGCAGCGGGCGAGTCAGGAGACGTCTGCCTTGCCATGTGGGCTGTTTGCTGGCTGGCCGGGGATCGAACTCATGTAGCAGAGGCTGCGTATTTTTTTGTAGTGCGGTGAGGCTTCTCTTGGCTCCTCTCCCTGGGTGGAGAGGCTGGACTGACGGTTGTGGGAATTCTGAGAGAATTTGGTATCCCCTCCCCTTTTCAGGACAAGTCCAACGATGGTGAGGTGTCCCCTGCAGTGGCCACTGTGGCAGGTGGCGCCCACTTGTTGGGCTTCTCTGACGAGATCCTCCTGCACATCCTGAGCCATGTCCCCAGCACAGACCTGATCCTGAACGTCCGGCTCACCTGCCGGAAGCTGGCGGCCCTGTGTTTGGATAAGAGCCTCACTCACACCGTGCTGTTGCAGAAGGACTATGAGGTGAGGTGGCTTGGATGCTGAGGGCTGGCAGTGGTGTGGGAGGGCAGATGATGGGGAACAGCCAGGAAGTTGGATGCTATAGCTGATGGAGAGGGAGGCAGATGTGCAGAGTCCTGCTTGAGACAGAGTCCTGCAGTGATAGCCTCCAGGTAAGTCTGGGATCCATTTTGTGTTACTCTTTATATGTGCTGTGAGGTAAAGATTCAAGTTCATTCAGCTGTTTCAGCACCATTTATTTTTATTTATTTATTTATTTACTTACTTACTTATACAAGAACTGGGGTGTAGACCAGAGGTTTGGGCCTGGGGGGTGGGGTGAGAGGAGTCATTAGAAACAGTGGGGAGCAAAACATGCAGATCCACTGAAATACACTGCTGAGGGAGCAGTGGGCGAGACAGCAGAGGTCTGCTGTGCCATGTGGGTCAGCTCCCTGGCCAGGATTGAACTCAGGCTGCCAACAGTGATAGTGCAGTGCAGTGATAGTGCTCAGGCTTAATCCCTAGGCCACCAGGGAGGCCCTTGACCAGGTACCTTAAAGATAAAAGTAAACTGACCTTGACCTTAACCCACATTTTCGGAGACTGTGGAAGGGGCTCTATGCTGACTCACAGCATAGTCTGTGCTGACTCATATTTCATTGTGTGGAGAGGCCTTGTGTTGTTTATCTGTTCGTCCATGGTGGACACAGGTTGTTTTCAACTTTCGGTTAATATGAATAATGCTCCTGTGAATGTGATGTGCAGTGTCTGGTCTGGTCCCTGTTTTCAGATCTCTTGGGTGCACACCTAGGAGTGGAATCTCTGGATCACATGCTAACTTTTTTTTTTTTAAGATTTATTTATTTATGCATACAAGAATTGGGGTACAGGTCGGGGGTGTGGAGGGTGAGAGGATTCACCAGAGACAGAGTGGGGAACAGAACAGGCGGATCTACTGAAATACACTGCTGAGGGGAGCAGCGGGTGAGTCAGGAGAGGTCTGCTGCACCATGTGGGTAGCTCCCTGGCCAGGGATTGAACTCGTGCTTCAGTGGCTGTGGTCAGCTTCATAGGTTGCATCTTAACCCCTTGAGCCACCAGAGAGGCCCACACTAACTTTTTGACTTTTTTTTTTTTTTTTAATAGAGCCATGTTTTTTTTTATTTTATTTATTTATTTGTTTGTTTGTTTTGTTTATACATGCACTGGGTACAGCCAGAAGCGCGGGAGGGCGAGAGAATTCACCAGAGCCAGAGCAGGGAGCAGAGCAGGCAGAAGGACCGAAGTACACTGCTGAGAGGAGCAGCGGGCGGCAGGAGAGGTCTGCGCGCCATGTGGGACCCTCCTCTGGTGGCCGGGGAGCAGCCGGGGATCGAAACGGCGCTGCAGAGGCTGCGGGCAGCTTCGCAACCCAGCACTCAACCGCTGCGCCACCGGGGAGGCCCGCACACTAACTTTTTGAGGAACTACCAAACTTTTCCACAGAGGTGGCACCATTTTATGTTCCCATCTAGCTTTTGAATGTTGGCTTAAGGTTAGTGTCAGGTGGGGAGAGAGACACTAGGTTTTCCCCCTGAGAGTCCCTGCAGGTGTCCCCCTGCAGTTTTCAGGGACTCTTGTAGCTCCTTGATTGATGTGAGGGAGTGTGACCTAAGGGGATGAAGGTGCAGGAGACACCCGGTACTCAACCCTTTCCTTCCTCTTCCTGCCACGCCATCCTGTCTTGCAGGCCAGTGAGGACAAGGTGAAGCGGCTGGTGAAGGAGATTGGCCGAGAGATCCAGCAGCTCAACATGGCTGGCTGCTACTGGCTGTCGGGCTCCACCATCGATCATGTGGCCCGCTGCCGTAGCCTGGTGAAGGTGAACCTCTCGGGCTGCCACCTGACCTCTTTGCGCCTCTCCAAGATGCTATCAGCCCTGCAACACCTACGCTCATTGGCCATTGACGTGGGCCCGGGCTTCGATGCTGGCCAGCTGAGCAGCGAGTGCAAGGCCACGCTGAGCCGCGTGCAAGAGCTGAAGCAGACACTGTACACACCCTCCTATGGTGTGGTGCCCTGCTGCACCAGCCTCGAGAAGCTGCTGCTCTACTTTGAGATCCTGGACCGCACGCGTGAGGGCGCCATTCTCTCTGGCCAGCTCATGGTGGGCCAGAGCAACGTGCCCCACTACCAGAACCTGCGTGTCTTCTACGCCCGCCTGGCCCCGGGCTACATCAACCAGGAGGTGGTGCGGCTCTACCTTGCTGTGCTCAGTGACCGCACACCTGAGAACCTGCACGCCTTCCTCATTTCCGTGCCTGGAAGTTTTGCTGAGAGCGGGGCCACCAAAAACCTGCTGGACTCCATGGCCCGCAATGTTGCGCTGGATGCCCTGCAGCTACCCAAGTCCTGGCTCAATGGCTCGGCCCTCCTGCAGCACATGAAGTTCAACAACCCCTTTTACTTCAGCTTTAGCCGGTGTACTCTGTCCGGTGGCCACCTGATCCAGCGGGTCATCAACGGTGGGAAGGACCTTCGTAGCCTGGCAAGCCTGAATCTCAGTGGCTGTGTCCACTGCCTGTCCCCAGACTCCCTGCTCCGCAAGGCGGAGGACGATATTGACAGCAGCATCCTGGAGACGCTGGTGGTGACCTGCTGCAACCTGCGGCACCTCAACCTCTCGGCTGCCCACCACCACAGCTCTGAGGGCCCGGGCAGGCACCTGTGCCAGCTGCTGGCCCGGCTGCGCCATCTGCGCTCCCTGTCACTGCCCGTGTGTTCTGTCGCTGACTCAGCGCCTCGTGCTGACCGAGCACCTGCCCAGCCTGCCATGCACGCTGTGCCCCGCGGTTTTGGCAAGAAGGTCCGCATCGGTGTGCAGTCCTGTCCCAACCCCTTCTTGGGGCAGGCGGTCCCCCAGCCCTCCTCCGTGTTCTGGTCTTTGCTGAAGAATGTGCCCTTTCTGGAGCGCCTCGAACTGATTGGGTCCAACTTTTCCTCCGCCATGCCACGCAACGAGCCAGCCATCCGAAACTCCCTCCCACCCTGTAGCCGGGCGCAGAGTGTGGGGGACTCAGAGGTGGCTGCCATTGGCCAGTTGGCCTTCCTGAGGCACCTGACACTGGCTCAGCTGCCCAGCATTCTGACGGGCTCCGGGCTGGTCAGCATTGGCCTGCAATGCCAGCAGCTCCAGTCCCTCTCACTGGCCAACCTGGGCATGATGGGGAAGGTGGTCTACATGTCCGCTCTCTCTGACATGCTGCAGCACTGCAAGCGGCTGAAGGACCTCAGGTAAGGGGGCCCTAGCAGCTGTTCCTGGCCCTTAGGAGCCTTTGAGGCTGGCAGTGGGGATGCAGTAGCATATGGCTTTTTATGTAGTGCATTCATATCTCCTGCACATCCTGGGGATTGAGATAAATGAGACACAGTCCTGTCCTTTGTGAGCTTGGAGTCTGAGGGGTGGTGGCCTGCCAGGGACAGTGTATTGTGATGGGTGGGACCTAGGGAGGTGCGGGGGCTTGGGGACTCAGCATTCAGTGGAGCCCAGGGAGGCTGTGCAGGTGGCAGGGATGCCAAACAGCCCACTGCCTTCATCACTTATGCCTGTTTCAGTGGTCGTAATGTAGGTGTTGCTCTGTATTTAATCTCATTTAATCCTTGTGGGATGTTACTATTCTTTTTTTTTTTTTTAAAGATTTATTTATTTATGCATACAAGAACTGGGGTACAGGCCAGAGGTACGGGGGCGGGGGGGATGAGAGGACTCACCAGAGACAGAGTGGGAAACAGAACAGGCAGACTGAAACACACTGCTGAGGGAAGCAGCAAGAGAGTCAGGAGAGGTCTGTCACATGTGGATAGCTCCACATCCACCCATGTGGATAGCTCCACACCTGGGGATCGAACTCTTGCTGCAGTAGCTGTGGATAGCTTCATAGGTTGCGTCTTAATCCTTTGCGCCACCAGGGAGGCCCAGATGTTATTGTTCTTGTACAGCAGAGCCAGTAAGTGGGGAAGCCAGGATTCAAATTCAGCTTTTTGTCAACTTTGCAATTCTTGAAGGATGAGGAGACTTGGGGATGTGAGTCCAAGGCTTTCTGGAGAGGTCAGCAACAGATGTTTACAAATATGTCATGTACAAAAACCCAGAGGTTTACAAATATGTCCTGTGCCCAAAAAGCTAAACGGTTCAGTCTGGCCAGTGCTCTGGAGGTGGGGGCGACGAGTGAGGGGGTGAGGCAGGTAGGCGAAGGTGAGGCAGATAGGAAGGACTTCAGTCAGCAGAGGGAGAAGTGCAATTGGAAAGACCCTTATGGTGTCCCATATGGGCTGGAGTGGCCAGGATGGAGGAAATGGAGCGATTGGTTCCTGGGGGGCTGCACAACATTGAGAGGTGATGATGGCCTGGAACAGGATCCTTGGCCTTGGAGATGCTACCCAGGCCATTATGTGGGCCCACTGGCAATTTCCACATCCAGGCATGAAGTGGATTACCTTAGTCATGCATGGAGTGAAGGGTTCTTGTGAAGATTGAGCCTTTGTTTACTAGAGACATATTTGATCATGAAAAATTGCACCGTTCCCTAGAAACTACCCAAAATGTAGTGATGATGGTAGACTTTGGGGGAAGGTGACAGCACACTTAGGTCCCTTAGTTGGGCTCCATGAGAAGCTGGTGGAGTGGATGCGTGGGAGCAGCAACAGGGGCACAGGGATTTGTGTGTGTCATTGTCCCCAGGCCAGCTAGTGCTCATTTGGTGTCTTGGCTGTGGATCAGTTGCCCTGTCCAGGACTTTTAGGTGCTCTTGAGCCACACAAAATAGAGACAAGTATGTACTTTGCAGACCTCCATACTCCCCCGAGATGGTGTTGGCATGACAGTAGATGAGCCTTATCTGAGCTGGAGCAACAGAAGGCTTTGCCATGCTCAACCTGGAGCCTTTAGAGCTTCTCTGCCAGGCTGGATGTCACCTCCCCCTCTGTCACACCCTTTAGCACAACACATCCTGTGGCTCCTAAGTCTCTGCTAGTCCTGGGTGGGTAGTGAGACAGAGGATCCAACCCCAGCCTTCCAAACAGCAGAGCCCATGGCAAAAACCTTGGTGTTTTCCTGCTGCGTTAACATGTCCTGGACATAGCTCCAATTCTCAGCCTGAATTTCCACAGACCCCTGTATCTGGGGGGAAGGGATTATTATGCTGTGTCTTGTGTGTTCCATTTACACTTGCTTTGAGAACCATGATGCTGGGTTTTCAGAATCCTCCAGTTTAGAAATCTGAGTCAAAGTTAGCTTTATGTACGTTTTGAGTTTGCTAAACTCAGGCCTGCAGGTTAAAGCCACTTGCGCCTGCATGTGCTGCTCTCCAGATGTGGCCTCCCTCGCCCTGACATATGGTGCTTACTTGGAGATGCAAAGTGTCGTCAGACAGTAAAGGATGTGAGGGGGCACCTTGTCATTCCACTCCAGGACCTTACGGACTTCTGTCCTACTGCAGCACAGGGGTACCTAGCAGGAATGAGGGCTGTGGCTTTTCTCTTCCCTCTCCCTGCACACCTCTGCCTTATGGCCTGTGTGTTCATTTCTCTGATGTAGGCCCCTCTCCTGCCAGGTTGGGTGGGGGGTCAGCTGCCTGCCAGAAGTGGAGGAAGGACTCCCACCACAGTCAGCCCCCTTCACACTTCTCCCCCACAGGCAGGGCGTGGGACTCCTGTTTTGGAAGCTTTTGCTGTCTTGTTGCCAGCATCTATCTGCAACCTTTAGGAATCTGCTTCCTGTTTTCTTACTGTCCCTCTCTGTCAAGTGCCTCCTCCCGCTTGTCTCTTCCTGGGCCTTAACTGTCATATCACTGGCCTTTCTGGAAGGAGATTATAAGTGTGTGCTCAGTGGACTATCTGTAACTTTTTTTTAAAGATTTATTTATTTTTGCATACAAGGATTGGGGTACAGGCCAGAGGTATGGGAGGTGAGAGGATTCACCAGAGACAGAGTGGGGAACAGAACAGGCAGATTGACTGAAATACACTGCTGACGGGAGCAGTGGGCGAGTCCGGAGAGGTCTGCTGTGCCATGTGAGTAGCTCCCTGCCCAGGGATCGAACTTGTGCTGCGGTGGCTGCGGATAGCTTCATAGGTTGCGTCTTAACCCCTTGTTCCACCAGGGAGGCCCAGATGATGTGTAACTTAAAGTTGCAATTGGATCTCTTCATTCAGCAGTAAACTACCCAGGTCAGCTACCCTGTTGCCCTGTTTTTTGTTACCAGGAATTGAATTTTTTTTTTTTTTTTAAGATTTATCTATTGGACCTCCCCAGTGGCCCAGCGGGTTGAGCGCCACTCTGTGAAGCTGTCCGCAGCCTCTGCAGCACCGGTTCAATTCCCAGCCGGCCAGGGAAATTCCCACATGGCGCAGCAAACCTCTCCTGTTTCTCCCGCTGCTCCCCTCAGCAGTGTCTTTGGTCCGTCTGCCTGTTCTACTTCCACTTCTGTCTCTGGTGAATTCTGTCACCCTCCCGTGCTTCTGACCTGTACCCCAGTTCTTGTATAAATAAATAAAATCTTAAAAAAAAATTCATTTATGGATATAAGAGCTGGGGTACAGGCCAGAGGTGTGGGGGTGAGAGGATTCCCCAGAGACAGAGTAGGGAGCAGAACAGGCAGACGGACAGAGGACATTGCCGAGGGGAGCAGCGGGCAAGTCAGGAGAGGTCTGCTGTGCCATGTAGGTCAGCTCCCTGGCCGGCCGGGGATTGAACTCGTGCTGCAGTGGCTGTGGACAGCTTCATAGGTTGTGTCTTAACCCCTTGCGCCACCAGAGAGGCCCAGGAATTGAATATTTCTTAATTCATGTGAGCATTAGAGTTCTAATTGAACACAACTCAGAACCAGGAATTTCTAGGCTTGTCATTTTTGCCATCAGCTTTGTTACTCTTACCAATCCATTAAACCTCACACCTTTCCATGACTGTAGTTAATCTATTTGGTAGTCATCAGGATGTGTTTGATAAAATTAGCAATCAGGGAGAGTAAGGGAAAGTAAAACGTTTTGTAGTTTAAACGTCAGAGTGTTAGAGGCAGGCAGTGAACCCCTGCCATGTCTCCAGCACCTGCCGGGCTCCCAGAGCCCGCAGAGATCCCTGGAGGTGCCAATGCTCCCAGTTGACAGGGCGCAGCACCCCTGTCAGGAGGCCGAGTCAACCTGAAATGAGAGACAGGAGAAAGCAAGATAGAGCCAGAAGTGGCTAGATTCTGACTTTACAGAGAATTTGCTGATTGATCGGGTTAATGGGATGGTGGGTCTAGGTGGATGCATGGCGCGGAGGCTTCTGGACTGAGCGGTTGAACCCATGTAGCTGTGTGCACACGTGGGTTTGAGGTGTCTCGCATACCAGTGGAGGAGCTGTTTCCCAGGCAGCAGATGTATCTGGAGAGACCATATATTATATTAGGTGTGGGTATACTCGGCGAGAATTGGTCAGGAGGAGGAGGGAGAATCAGCAAAGGTGGCTCAGTCTGCGCTGTCCAGGAAGGAGGAAGCAGATGAGAGGGGGCCATGCTGGAAGGTGGCTGTGGCTGCTGTTAGATTGTGTTGGCATCTTCAGGATGGCTGCCAGATACTTTTCAGTGCTTACAGGGATCGAGCCCATGGGCACTTCTGGTAACCATGAGTGTAGATATTGTTGTCTCATTTTGCAGATGAGCAATGTGAGTCCCAGAGGACTTAATGAGCTTGCCTAGGTGACCCAGCTGCAGGCAGCTGGGAGTGTTTCCTGCCTCACAGTTGGGCATTGAACTGGGTAATAGCAGCATGTAGTGGTCACTGAGTGGTCTTTGGGGTCTGGTTCATGATCTGTGTGACTCAGGGCCTTCTGCAGGAGCAGGACCCTGCATACAGTGTGTTTGTGCCTGGGAAGGCCTGTGGGACTTGGGATAAACGGGTTTTGTAGGCCAGCGTGAACCTGACCACCACTTACAATGGCCTCTCTGTGCACCATGGCTGCTGAGAATCACGTCTGATTGAGCTGGGTACTGCCTGTTCAGAACAAACACCAGTTTCTAAAACGTGGCCAAATGGCCCCATTCCTCTGGATGCCTGCCTTCTGTAGCAAGCTGACTGGGGGCTGGATCGAAAGGAGCAGGTGGTGCCGCCTGCCGTGGGCCGCAGCCAGGGAAAGGATGCGGTATTCTGTGTTTAGGGGAAGCATGCCGCTCCCTCTTGGCCTGCTTCCCCGGCTGTTCCTGATCTTCCTTGAATGTTCCTGAGATGCAGCTCTGGGGTCCCAGGCAAGCCTGCTGCGGCTGCCGCTGTCCCTACCTTGAAGGTCCATGAATCTGAGCTTGGTGCCAGCTGGGCCCCTGGCCGGGAGCTGCCTCCGCACAGCCGGCCGCTCCTGGGGAGGCGGTGCAGAACACGTTGTTCTGGCTGGGACCGGGCAGCTCCGGATTCATATGCACCTCGGCAGAGAGAGGATTACAAGTTGAACAGAGAAGGCACTTTTTTCCCAAGTCTGATCAAGTCCTCCTTGGTGGTGGAGGGAGGGGACAACCCTGAGTCACCCTGGGCTGCCCATGACCTCAGAACCAGGGAATCGGGGCAGGTTTGGGTGGAAGCAAGAGGACCGCTTTAGACCCAGGTGCTGGAGACAGTCCCAGGAGTGCCCTAGGCCTTGGTACTGTATGGGCAGGCAGATGAGAGGAGGCACCTCCCAGTGTCTTCCTGTGCCCACAGAACCTCAGGGAGACCAGACATCTCAGGGAGTGGGCTTTGGAGACCGATCTTGTTGATTGGAAGGCTGAGGAAGAGTGAGGAGAGAATAAACGGCCACAGGTGTCCTCCCCAGCTCCCAAGGCGACGTCAGTCATGGTAACCTCTTCCTCATCCTCTGCCCTAACTGCAGACACTTGATCACTCAGTCACTTGTATCAGGTCAGTTCTGCCAGCCCATTGTGTGGGAGAGTAGGGGCCATGGTGTGGTTAGCCTGCGGAGTGGACAGCCAGTCGCAGCAGGCCAGCCTCTTCCTGAACGTCTGTGATGGGCGACTTCCTTCAGTATGGAAGAATCTGGCAATGACTGTCTAGTTGAAAGACTACTTAAACTGTGTATGTCTACAACACACTTGCTCCTTCTGCCTGCCGGGTTTCTAACCCACAGGCTGAACATCTTCCTCTTTGGCGGGTGTTGCGGGCCCACATCGCCACCTAGTGACCAAGATGCCACAGGCCCGTCCTTTCCCGCTGGCCTGCATCCCAGCCCTGCTTTCAGGCCCCTCACGCAGCTCCCGCTTTCCCCTGCAGGAGGCAGAGGTCACTGCAGTTCCACAGTCCCAGGTTCAGACTCCCACACCACCCTCCATTTTTCTTACTTTTAGGTCTGTGTTTTGAGAAAAACACAACTTCTCAGAAAATCTGTGCATAGCAGGGTTGTGGTCTCGGTGTGACTTTGATCACTCCCTTCCCCTGGTGGAGTGGACTTGAACCCATAGCCCCTTGAATCTTTTCAGCTTTCCTCCTGGTCCTCTCTGCCTTGCCGTGACTCTCATCCCAGAGGGACTTACATGGCCCAACCTCCTGCCTCAAATCCGGTGTCATCCAGGTGTCACAGGCTGGTAGCTGCACTTCAGTTTTCCCTCTGCCTCCACCGGTGTGTCTCTGCCGCCTCCTCTTTGTGCTTTACACCGCTCTGTCCGCTCTGCTTCCTGTCTGGGTGCACACACCCAACAAAGGCCTGGCACATCTTCTGCACTTTCCCTAGTCCTGATCTTTGTCTCTGTAGCTGGAGCCAGCCTCAGCACAGACTTGTGACACTTCAACCCTTTGTTGAGGCCCAGCTCTGTGCGCACATCCTCATCTCTCCTATCCATCTTGCTAGAACACGTGGGTGGGAACCTCCAGCCTTGTCTGCTGGCTGAGTTCTTAGCTGCATAGACTAGTCCTTCTCACCCCCAGATGGGGGCATTTGGACCTGACTAGTGCTGCCCCTCACACTTTCTGGCAAGGCTAGAGTGGCCCCACCTGGCCCAGGTTGTCAGCCTCCCCACCTTCTAGATGCCCTATCTATCCAGTGTGTGTTCCTCATGGGTGAGACCTGCTCTCCCCTGTAAACAGCACTCCTGAGGGCAGTGACCACACAGAAACACGGCTCCATTTCCTGCCCGGTGGTTGAGGGAGATGGGGTACTGACAGGGTAGTGGCTTGGCTGGCTGTAGACAGTGGCCAGGTGGTTGCATTGGGTCTGCAGGGTCTTTTGAATCAAATCACTGCAAGAGATCCCAGGGGTCTGAGGGCCCACCCAGGGCTAGGCAAGGGGGGCATGCGTGGGGACTGTAGACTGGGAGGCTAGGGCTCACTACTGTTCTTTGCTCCTTCCCCACAGACTGGAGCAGCCCTACTTCAGCGCCAACGCCCAGTTCTTCCAGGCCCTGAGCCAGTGCTCCACGCTGCAGCGTTTGTGCCTGGTCTCCCGTAGTGGCACCCTGCAGCCCGAGGCTGTTCTGGCCTTCATGGCCCGCTGCCTGCATGTCGTCGTGTGTCACATGTTCACCGGGGAGTCGCTCGCCACCTGTAGGAATCTGCAGCAGTCCCTCCTCCGAAGGTGAGTGGGTGCACACAGGCGGTGCCTAGGGCATGACCCAGAAGTTTAGCATCAGTGTCCCAATGAACCCCTCCTCCCTGGGTCTTCACTGGGTGGTGGGAGACAAGCTCTGTGGGCAGCGTTGGAGTGAGAAGCCAGGGCTGAGTCTTCCACAGAGCTCCCTCCCAACCTGGCTTTCATTCGCTGCGTGGCTCGTTTCTACACAGCTGAAGCTTTCTGGTTTTTGTTTTGGTTTTCCAACCAGTTTATTTGGGCAGACCTGAGCGTGGGGAGGTACCTGCAGCTAGAAGAAGGCTTTGGGCCTCCTGGTGGTGAAGTGTGGATTGTATAGGTGACATGGGATCTGGTGGGGTGGTGGGAACTTGACCTTGGAGTCATTCTCCACCGGTCAGTCTCCTCCATGTTTGTGATCTGTATTAAGTGAGCCCAACATGGCCCAGGCACCCACATCATGGTAGCGCTGGGTGGTTGGGTCCTGGTCCTCCTGGTTTGTGCTGTGGGTCCCTCCGTGAGTGCACAGTCAGATGCAGGAGTTCTTCACCTGTGGGGTGTGGGTGGGGGTTTCTTAAACACCCTCACAGTTTCTGAAACACAGACTTCATCATCTTCAAGTGAGAGATGAAGTACTGGAAGTGGAACTTGATGACATGATTGGGTGCAAAGAGTAGAATGCGGTTGGGGGCATGTGAGAATTTTGGGCTGGGCAGGCAGTGCCCTACCACCTTGTAATCCCATAGCATGCCAGTGCCTGCCTTGGTAGTGCTTGTAGCTGCACCCAAAAGGAAGTAAAGATATTCTTTATTTTCCTATATGTTCTTATAGAGGCATGTTTTTTTTTTTTTTTTTATTTGTTTGTTTGTTTGTTTTGTTTATACATACACTGGGTACAGTCAGAAGCGCAGGAGGGTGAGAGAATTCACCAGAGCCAGAGCGGGGAGCAGAGCAGGCAGAAGGACCGAAGTACACTGCTGAGGGGAGCAGCGGGCGGCAGGAGAGGTCTGCGCGCCATGTGGGACCCTCCTCCGGTGGCCGGGGAGCAGCCGGGGATCGAACTGGCGCCACAGAGGCCACGGGCAGCTTCGCAACCCAGCGCTCAATCGCTGCGCCACCGGGGAGGCCCCCTATATGTTCTTATAAATGTTTCTATGATGTATAAAATACACTGCATTTAGCTCACTTTTTTTTTTAAGTTTTATTTATTTATACATACAAGAATGGGGCACAGGCCAGAGGTGCGGTGAGAGGATCCACCAGACACAGTGGGGAGCAGAACAGGCAGATTGAATGAAATACACTGATAAGGGGAGAAGCGGGCGAATCAGGAGAGGTCTGCTGAGTCATGTGGGTTGGTCCCTGGCGGGCCGGGGACTAGAACTCATGCTGCAGAGGCTGCGGACAGCTTCATAGGTTGTGTCCTAACCCCTTGCGCCACCAGGGAGGCCCCTCTTTTTTTTTTTAAAGATTTTTTTTTTATGCATACAAGAATTGGGGTACAGCCAGAGTTGGGGGGGCGGTAAGAGGATTCACCAGAGACAGAGTGGGGAGCAGAACAGACTGACTGAAATACACTGCTGAGGGGAGCAGTGGGCAAGACAGGAGAGGTCTGCTGCGCCATGTGGGATTCTCGCCGGCTGGCCAGGATCGAACCGGCACTGCAGGGTCTGCGGACAGCTTCACAGTGCGGCACTCAACTGCCTGCGCCACCAGGGAGGCCCCAGGTGTATAGTTTTTCACCTCAGCAGCTGTACAGACCACACCAACCCCTCCACCAAATGTCAGGCACCTTCCACCAACAACCAGTCAGCCCCATTTACCTGCTCCACCTCCCCATTCTCTCTGGTAACCACCCTTTTGTGATCAGAGTTTAAGAGTTTTATTTTCTTTCCTTTGTTTTTTTCCTTTTTCTTTCTACTCATTCCACAAATGAGTGAAGTTATCTGGTATTTGTCTTTTTCCTTCTGACATATTTTACTTATTTCCCCTCATGTTGTTACAGATGTCTAGATTTCATCTTTCACTAGCAAGCAGTATCCTATCATGTGCACACGCCACACTCACTTCATCTAGGTGTTTGCACTTAGTTGTTTCCATGTCTTGGCTATTGCAAATAGTGCTGCATAGATTTTTTTCAAATTAGTTTTTTTTTTAATATATTTTTTGATAAATACCTAGAAATGGGAGTACTGGAGAATATGCTGGTTCTATTTTTAACTTTTGGAGAAACCTCCATACTGTTTTAGTTGACCAATTTACATCCTCACCAACAGTGTATGAGGGTTCCTTTTTCTCTACATCTTCACCAACATTTATTGTTTCCTTGACTTTTTTTTTTTTTAATAGAGGCATGTTTTTTATTATTTATTTATTTGCTTGTTTGTTTGTTTTCTTTATACATGCATTGGGTACAGTCAGAAGCACGGGAGGGTGAGAGAATTCACCAGAGCTAGAGCGGGGAGCAGAGCAGGCAGAAGGACCGAAGTACACTGCTGAGGGGAGCAGCGGGCAGCAGGAGAGGTCTGCGCGCCATGTGGGACCCTCCTCCGGTGGCCGGGGAGCAGCCGGGGATCGAACTGGCGCTGCAGAGGTCGCGGGCAGCTTCGCAGCCCAGCACTCAACCGCTGTGCCACCGGGGAGGCCCTCCTTGACTTTTTTTTTTTAAAGATTTATTTATGCATACAAGAGCTGGGGTCTGGGGGCCAGAGGTGTTGGGGGTGAGAGGCTTCACCAGAGACAGAGTGGGGAGCAGAACAGGCGGATTGACTGAAATACACTGCTGAGGGGAGCAGTGGGTGAGACAGGAGAGGTCTGCTGCCCCATGTGGGTCAGCTTCCTGTCTGGGGATTGAATTCATGCTGCAGTAGCTGTTGATAGCTTCATAGTGCTGCGACTTAACCCCTGTACCACCAGGGAGGCCCAGGACCTTGACATTTTTGAAGTGCACTGGCCAGATGTCTCGTAGAATCTCCATTGGTATGGGTTTGTCTGATGTTTCTTGGTCAGAAAACCACAGGTGATACTGTATACTTCTTGGTGTGGCATTTGGGCACAATTGGTAGTGTGTCTCACCCCCGGCAAACTTACCCTTAGTCACTTGGTTAAGATAGTGTCTGCCAGGTTTCTCCCCTGTAAAGTTATAAGAGTCTGCAAATACTGTTTCTCATCAGGCTTTTGCCCATTAACTTAGCATCCTTGGATGGATCTTGCCAATAACAGTTACTCCCTGGACGTTTGCCTGACAATGGTTTTCTGTTTCCTTCATTCCTTCTGTGTTTGTTAATGGGGAATCTACTGTGAGAGAGTCCTGTCCTCCCATGCACTTATTTACTCAACTGTTGTATCAGTATGGACTCGTGAGTACTTATTCAGAGGCTCTCAGTCTGTTGCTGTCACTGTTCATACTGTTGGCTCAGATTGTTCCAGACCTGACCTTGGGGTGTTCTTTCAGATTGGGTCCTGTGCCCTTTCAATATCCCCTTTTTTATCACTTCTTTTTTTCTGTCACAACAAGATATTCCAGGCTTATCTTGTATTTTCCTGCCCCAGACCTGGAACCAGATATTTCTCCAAAGGAGCCTTGGCTCTGTTCTCAGGAATTGTACTTAGAAACCAAGATTGGGGCATTAGGTGTGCTCACTGCCACTGGAGTGTCACTCCCTTTTGTATACAGAATAGGAAGTCATCTATGTATATTTCTGTACACACACATCCATCTCTTTTTATTTCTATATCTCTCCATTTGCATTTGTAGTGAAAATAGTGTACTCAGACTGATGTCTCTAACTCCAACCCAGCATCATCATGGCTGGTCCCCTTCCTTAAGAGTAACCTCTCTTCCACAGAGGGCAGCCGGCCTTTCGCCATTCACCATATAATTTGTGCAGTCCTAATGTCTGTGTGAGGTAGTTTTGGAATTGTTAGCCCCTTCCACCTTGTGAGACAGCTCTGCTAGCCAGAGAGGGCTATTTGTATGTGCTTTGGTCTTTAGCCTCCCGGTGTCCAAAGTACTGATGTCCTTCCCACCTCCTTTTGTGTGGTCATGTTTTCTCATTTTTGCAAAGTCAGGTTTGTTTATTACTGCCTAATATTTCATTTTTCATCACCCAGCAACCTGGCTGATTATTTTTGTATTTGAAATCTTACTGGGGTTCTCTGAGTCAGAGCGTGTGAAAGGGAGTTGCTGGGGGGTTGCCACCCAGCCTGCCTGTCCTCTTCAGACCTTTTTCCCCTCTCTGCCTCCTCACACCCCCTGCAGACAGCCTGGCAGGTTGGTTCCCCTTCGTCCTCCCGTGTCTGCACAGATGCAGAACATGTTCTCTGCTTCCCACTTTCCCACGTGGACTCTGCTTTCTCACTAAATAATATCTCTTGGAAATCCCTCCTTGTCAGTTCTTGCTTGTTGTTAATATAGCTCTGTGTTTTTGTTTGTGATTGTTGTAAATACACATGACATAAAATTTACCATTTCCACAGCTTTTAAGTGTGTGGTTCAGGGCATTAAGTCCATTCACATTGCCGTGCAGCCATCACTGCCATCTTTCTGCAGAACTTCCATCTTCCCAAACTGCGATCTCCCCCATAAACACCAACCCCACTCTTTCCTCTCTGCCTCTATTCTTCTTTGTCTCTGTGAATTTGATGACTCAGGGAACCTCACAGAAGTAGAATCATATGGTAGTTGTGCCTTTGGGCCTGCCTTTTTGTATTCCTTTTGAAATTTATTTTAAGAAGCTTAATAATTAGAAATAAAGGGTCATCATACATTGACTGAAATAAAGCCCCTTTGAGTCCCTGAGCCTACAACCAGTGTGAGTTTGCTTTTTGGGTCTTGGAAGTATACCCACATGCCTGTGTGCAGCAGGGTGTTTGTGTCAGTGTGTTTGTGACAGCCATGAGTGTGTAAGCGTGTGGGTGGGTGCGAAGCCTGTGTTTCCAGATGATGTTCTTGTGTGGAGCTGCTGTGCTCCTTCTAAGTTCTGCGGAGCAATGCTTCAAACAACCTA